AATAGTTAATTTGATACTCATATCGATATAATTTTATCAAATTTTTATGAAATCTTTAAATTTATATTTTATTATAAAATAAAAACATCATCATTTTTTTTCAAAATCACATAAGACCATATTATAACATCGATTAAGATAAAAAATATTAAAATCAAAATGTATCTCGCTACATTGTACGAGTACCCTTCTAGTAGATATAAAATATATTTAGTCATTAGATTTGTGATCTAAAAATAAAAAAATGGAAAACAAATAAAATCGCCTTTTCTTAAATATGTAGGCCTACGGCCCAATTTTTCGATGATCTAGTCTTGCAGCAGACATTGATATTGTTGGGCAAAATAACCCGACCCGATTTTCGCTTTTGACCCATATGAAACACAGTCTCTGTAGGAGCGACTTGTTCATCAAGAATGCACTTATACAAACGAGTAGTGATTTATAGAATCTGTTCTAATTGATACACTCAACTGATTTGATCCGATGGAATTCAATCTGGAAGAAGGAAAGCATCTCTACGATGAATGCTCAACGTTAATTCTGGTTTGTTCTATTAAATTCCCGCCTAGGGTTAAATATTTTCTTTTTGATTGTTGTTGTTGTTGTACTTGAAAAGTTCATTGAAGTAGAGGTCGTGTGTTTTTCAATTGATGATGTTAATTCTTTCTATGTTTGTGGATTAATTGATTTAGCCAGCGTTATCGATTGGGAATGTCGGGCAATTGGCGGTGGATCTTTTGATAGCTTCCACGAATGCTGAACGAATTGGTTGCCTTGATGATCCAAACGTTCTTCCTTGTGTAGGGAATGATGCTTATATCCCTACTCCTCAGGGCGACCTTGCCCTCCCTCTTGAAGGTTGTATTTTGGACTTTTAGTTTGTTTGCAGTTTTACTGTTTATACATCTATTTTTACATGTCTGCAAGAAATATTGTAACTTTATACAGTATGGTTCATAACTTTTGTGTTGGTTGTTTTTACAAAATATTCTGTAAGAGTGTACTTACCGTTCAAGCGGGCAACTATTGATTAGGCAACTGTTAATGACATATCTAGGATATCCAACAATTTGAGAAAACCAAAATGAGAGCTAACTATATTTTGTGATGATAATCAATGGGAAAAAAGTAATTTAGGCTTGAAACGTTTACTAAAAATAGAAAGGGTTTTTTGGGACATTGGGGAAAAATGTTGCATTTGGATTTGAGTGATTGCATATATGGGTTGGGTAGGCTCATCAATGGTAACTCCACAAACAGATTCTCCTTTGCAACAATGAAGAGAAGTCATTCCAAAATGAAGGTATCCTTTAATGTAAAACGACACCATATTCTCTCTTTAATCTTTGTGCATTTTGCGGCTTTGAAAATGGATTCCAGTTAAGAAATGTGGGTCTATAAGCATAGAACATAAGAAGCAACAAATATTATAAGGCCTAGTAGAGTATCAAACATCTAGAGCATATTCATGAATATGATTTACATCTTAGTTTTCATTGTATATTATGAGTTTTACTTCTGGCATGCAGCTTATGAGTCACCTTCTAGTGCATTGACCCTTATCCAACAAAGATCACCAGTTGTTAAGGTAAGATATCATCTTTACGTCCTTGGATTCTTCTTGTAAATTTTGTGTTTTTGTCCTCAGATACTATTCATCTCACGACAGTGTCTTTTTGTCACCAAAGCTACTTCTCTGGATATTGCTGTCTTTATTGTCTTTTGCTTTTCATTATTGCTGTTGTTGAAAATCAACATATCAAATAAATCTTTTGTTTATATTATAAACTCAAGATATCGATTGTTTATTGATATTGTTGTTCTAATTACATCAAGAGAAGAAACGAACCCTATATATAAACAAGAAAACATAAAAAGGAAACCACTAAATAAGGAGATAAATAAGGAGAGGATATTGATAAATACGGAGAAGATATGGACCAAGAATTGAAATCCAATACTCCCCCTCAAGCTGGAGCGTGTAAATTGACAACGCCCAGCTTGTCCAGTAAGAAACGAAGTTGCGAAGCTCCAAGCCWCTTTGTGAGAAGGTCAGCAAGTTGAAGCTTTGAGTTGATGGACATAGGACAAATTTCCTTGGATTCAACACGTTCACGAACGAAATAACAGTCCATTTCAACATGTTTAGTGCGTTCGTGAAAAACCGGATTGTTGGCGATATGCCGAGCTGCTTGATTGTCGTAGAAAAGTGTGGTAGAGCCAAGTTGTGGAAGGCCTAGCTCTTGTAAAAGCCATCGTAACCAGATGAGTTCACTAACAGTTAAAGCCATGGCACGATATTCAGCTTCAGCGGATGAGCGTGAGACAACGGACTGCTTTTTCGTTTTCCACGAAATAGGAGCACCACCAAGAAGAACAAGGTAACCGGTTCGAGAACGCCTAGTGAGAGGGCAACCAAGCCAATCTGAATCAGCGTATGCAACCAGATTCGTGCCACCTTCTTTTGGTAAAAGTATGCCTTGACCGGGAGTGGCCTTGAGATATCGAAGAATTCTAGACACGGCATCTATATGACTCTGACGGGGGTCTGAAACAAACTGACTGAGAGTGTTAACCGAGTAGGCTATGTCCGGACGAGTGGCCTGGAGGTAAGAGAGTCGACCAATAAGACGTCGATAGCTACTGGCATCAACCTTGGGTTCTTGATCATCCATAACAAGGTTTAGATTTTGTTCAATGGGGAATGAACTCGGACGACATCCTCCCATGCCACTGTCTTCTAATATATCAAGAGTGTACTTCCGTTGGCTTAAAACGAGACCATGAGAAGTTCGGGCCACCTCTATTCCAAGGAAATATTTCAGTTCCCCAAGATCTTTGATGCTGAACTTGTCATGCAAACATTGTTTGACTTCGTGTATCTTCTTGGAATCGTTTCCAACGATGATGACGTCATCGACGTAGATGAGAATGGAATGGAAAGGAAAGTGTTGTCATGTTTGTAGAGAAAAAGCGAATGATCTGCCTTGGATGAAGAAAAGCGGAGACCGAGGAGGGCAGTGGTAAACTTTTGATACCAGTTTCGAGAGGCCTGTTTGAGACCGTAGAGAGATTTTCGCAGACGGCAAACACAATCGTCTTTCTCCGTGAAAAAACCTTGTGGTATCTTCATATACACTTCTTCATCAAGATCACCATGAAGGAAGGCGTTATTGACGTCGAGCTGGTGGATGAACCAATTGTTTTTAGTAGCCACGGATAATAACGTTCGAACAGTTACCAGTTTAGCTACCGGAGCAAATGTATCATGAAAATCTTCTCCTTCGATCTGGGTGAACCCCTTTGCGACGAGTCTCGCTTTATATCTTTCGACATATCCATTTGGCTTGTATTTGATCTTGTAGACCCATTTAGAGTCAATGGCTCGTTTTCCTTCTGGCAAAGACTCAATGGTCCATGTGTTATTTTGTTCAAGGGCTTGAATCTCCTTYTTCATGGCTTCAATCCATCTYGGGTCWTGCATGGCTTGCTTAAAAGTTTTCGGCTCATCAGTGGTGGTGATGGCCGCCAAGAAATTCTTGTGAGTATTAGAAAAATTATTATAAGAAAGATAATTGGCAATGGGATGTACCGTTGAGGTGGCTTGAGTTGATGCGATATGTGCATGGTCAACCGAAGGGGGAAGATCAACAATGAAATCATTCAGGCGTTTAGGTTGTGTTCGGTCCCTCTTTGGTCGAGAGTTTCCCAGATCAGTGTGTGTTTCGAGATTTTGAGGAGGTATCTCTTCATGGATTGTGTCTGGCCTACTTTCATCGTTCTCCATCATGTGCCCATCCAAGTCCGGTGGGCTAGAGTTAGGCCTATCATCTTCCACCTCGTGATTTTGCTCATGATTTTGGCCTTCAACGTCTTGAGCTTGTATGGGAACAAAGACATTAGAATCATTGGAAGCTTGAGTTTGAGCTGGGAAGGTAAAAGTGCTTTCATGGAACTTCACATCTCGTGACACCACCATTTTCTTGCTTTCAATATCAAATATTTTGTAGCCTTTTGTCCCTTGAGGATAAGCTAGAAAAATTCCGGGTCTCCCCCTTACTTCGAACTTGTCACCCTTTGTTTCGATACTCCAAAAATAAGTTAGACAACCAAAGACCCTCATGTGATATATTCGGGTTTTTGGTTGTATAGTAATTCATATGGAGTTTTATCACCAAGAGTTTTAGAGGGTAATCGGTTGATGATGTACGCAGCGGTAAGAACGCATTCCCCCCAAAACCTTTTTGGCAAATTGGCTTCAAAACGCAGAGCTCGAGCCGTGTCGAGTATGTCGGTGCTTACGCTCAACAACCCCATTTTGTTGAGGCGTGTGAGAACACGTGGTTTCTAACAAAATGCCTTGCTTGGTGTAAAAGTTCAACATGAGATTTGACGTGAATTCCCCACCATTGTCACATCTTATTCTTTTGATGCTTTTATTAAACTGGCTTTCAACCATTTTGCAAAAATTCACCAAACAGGTACTAGCATCAATTTTATATTTAACGAGAAAAATCCAAACATTCCTACTGAAATCATCCACAATGGTCAAGAAATAATTTGCTCCAGAGAATGAAGGAATTCGATATTTGCCCCATACATCACAATGTAATAGTTCAAAACATGCTTTGGTTTTAATTTCACTTAACGGAAAAGGAGATCTCGTATGTTTAGCTTTGGAACAGGAATCACAAACACTATTTCTAAGATTAAAGGAAACACCTTTGAGAAAATCAACTTTAGCTAGCTTTTCCTGCGATGTGTGACCCAACCTCTTATGCCATCTTTCAACAGTGACTGTCATAGCTTTCCTTTCTTCCTCAAACATCCCCATTCGGTATAGACCTCTCTTGCACTTACCCGCACCAATCAAGTTCCTCGAACGGAGACCCTGCATTACACAAAAATCAGGAAAGAATGTCACAGCACATTGAAGGTTTTTGGTTAATCGGCTAACGGATAAAAGATTACAAGTAAACTTTGGTACGTGTAATATGCCCTCGATCTTGGTGCCTCCCGGTAGAGTATAATCACTCTTACCCTCAACCGGGATGGTATCTCCATTAGGGATAACCACGGGCATTCCAAGAGGGTCTTTTCTTTTGTTAACAAGGATATTACTTAGATAGGTTGTGTGATCGGTATCTCCCGAATCAACAATCCAATCATCCTTATTATCAATTCTACCTGTCATGTTGGCTACTCGTTTGTTCCCTTCATCACCTGTGTTGGTTCCACATTCAAAGTGTTTCAAGAAGATATTGTATTGCTCGATAGTGAGTCCGGGAATGGGACTCGAACCACCCTCAACGCAGGAGGCCCTCGACTTTGTCTTGTCTCCCTTCGCTTTCCCTGGCCACCACTCAAGGTAACCAATCCGTTTGAAGTAACCTTCTCGATTATGTCCATCCCTATCACAATGAGTGCAGTGTTGTACCTCTTCTTCTTGTTTTGTTGTTTTCGAATAGGTCTTCGTTTTCTGTTGTGAGGAGAAAAAGTTGTCACGTTTTGGAAGAACAAAAGCCTTAAAGGCGGCGGCTTCCACAGTAGGCTTCTTATCTTCGGTTATCAGCTTTTGTCGTTCATCTTCGGCAACGAGATGATCGGCTGTCCCGAGACCCGGAGTTGGTTGGGTGGCAAGGATTTGGGTTTTGATAACTCCGAACCCGTTGTCGAGACCCATAAGAAACTCGTACAGCCTCTGTTTTTCTTGATGTGCAACAAGCCACTTACCGATGTCACACGTACACCCATTACACGTGCACTGTGGGATGGGGAACACCGACTGGATTTCATCCCATAATGATCGAAGCTTTGTGTAGTAAGCCGAAACGGTGGCGCCGTCTTGGTGTGTGACAGCGATCTTGTTTTTCAGTTCGTATGCCCTCGGTGCGCTCTCTTTCCCAAATCGTTCACGAAGATCGATCCACATCTCTGCAGCGGTGCTCGCGTATTTCACGCTGCCTCTTATTTCTTTTTCCATGGCGGTGGTGAGCCACCCCTTTATCATCGCATCCACTCTCATCCATAGCATGTAATCCTTGGATGTCTTTTCTGGCTTTTCAATTGACCCGTCGATGAAACCGATCTTATTTTTTGCTAATAAGAAATTTTCCATCTCTTGTACCCAATCCGCATAATTTTTGTCTGACAATGCATCGTTGACTTGCATTTGTCTAGGGTAATGGGAAGGGTGCAGGTAATATGTGAGTTGTAATCAACGACGTTGCCGCCGTTGTCTTTTGCCGATGTTGCTACGTCGCAGGCCATGTGTTTCGTCGGAGCAGTAGGATCACCGCTCTGATACCATTATAAACTCAAGATATCGATTGTTTATTGATATTGTTGTTCTAATTACATCAAGAGAAGAAACGAACCCTATATATAAACAAGAAAACATAAAAAGGAAACCACTAAATAAGGAGATAAATAAGGAGAGGATATTGATAAATACGGAGAAGATATGGACCAAGAATTGAAATCCAATACTATAAGCATGCTTAAGTCTTATGCCATCTTTTTACCTTAATAGCAAGCTAGCAAACTTGCAGCTGCATCTTAGTATTATTCCAAATAGATCATGGATGTCTTATCATTTATAAATGGTAATTGTCGTTTAGATGAAGTTGGTTGAAAACAATCACAGAACTCAATATATGTATTAGAAATGGTTAAGCATCAGGATTCGTTGCCTATAAGAAATTCAAATTGAAAGATGCCTTATAAGAGTTTGAACCTTTCACAGTAGTAATAGGATTCATTGCCTATAGGTTCAAATTGAAAGATGCCTCACAAGAGTTTGAACCTTTCACAGTAGTAATATGTCCCAACTCAAAAATAGATAATAGGATCATGACACGTCTTTGTAGATAAACAAAATAATTACGTGGTGGTTGATAATTGATTAGCTGAAAAATGTCCCTAATTATTCCTAGCCTAGGCTGTTTAAACCATTTACACATGTTAAAGCATAGGTATATCCATCAAAGAAATTACTTGGTGGTTCTCATCAACATACACCTGTATGTGGCCTGATAGCTTGCCATCTTCCTCCGTAGTGTGCGGATGCATAACCTTTTCTTTGAATAAAGAATTTGACTCATTGAACTAATTTTGTCTATTTGGCTATCTAAACAGGGAAGGATGATTGAGTATGCTAAAAATCTTGCTGACTTTGCTGCTGCTTGTGGAAAGAAGCACGTCATAATCCTCTCTAGCTTAGACTTTGGCAGGTGGCAGACAATTGATATGTCAAGGTACTGAACGAATAGGTGTTCTAGAAAATAATATAGTTTCCTCTTCTATCAGTAGTATGTAGCTGCTTAAATGTTATATACACCATGGATCCTCTCTCTGGTTGTTGGGTGGCCATTAAAATTATATAGGCTCCTAGCCTGTCGTGATGTAAAAAGAGGTGCCAAACTCTGATTGATTCTTTCTGTTTGTTCATTACATTTTATATACATAATGCTTGGTGGAGCTTGGCATCTACCAGTGGGTCTTTGTTTCTTGTTACTCTTTTCGAACCTGTGGTTGTATGGCGCTGTACACAGCAGCACAACACTCTTTCTGGGCATATGGCCCTGTTAAACTCATCTTGTTTTGTTGCTTATAGAAATCAATTCTATTGACCTTATCGTCTAAATACAAGTTCTTAGTAAGTGCAGATTGCAGAATACTAGTGTGCCACAACCAGTTATTACTTTATTTAGTGTGTGGCCATTTTTGAAATTTGTAAATAGAGCTTCAATTTTTTGGAGAAAAGTCGTCTGATTTTATGAAGTAACATTTGCATGGGCATGGGAATGGGCATGGCCATGGCCATGGCCATGGCCAATTGCTAGCAAAGGAGCTATATCAAACTTTGCACTCACTCCATAATTGAACAGACACGATCAAGTAATAAGATAATGGTGTGTTTAAAAGCATCAAGAGTATCTCTATAAGCATCAAATGACTGTGGACGAATGATTTGGATTTGAGATTTCCAGTTTCATAAGCAATCTGCTTAATTCATATTTCACATTGACTACTTTTTGACAATATTTACTGATTCTAAGGTGAATATTTCAGTGGTCAGCAGATATATTACCTCTCTAATACAACTGTGGATGGAGCAGATGATCAGTGTGAAAAATTAGGGTGGAAAAGAATGAAGGAATATGATCCTAACCAGAAACTATGGAAGTATCTCAATACTTTAGCCGAAGGTAGCGTAAGCCAAGATGATATCTCACTTCTTGAAGATGATCTGGGAGAAGAAGACTATTATCCAAGTTTGCCTTTTGCTGCAATGTTTTCTTGTTTCAAGGTGATCCTCAAATCAACCAATTACTGATACATATACTTTGAAATTTCCCTTTCACAGTTTTGATCAAATTGGTAGTTTGCCCAATAGAGCAAAAAGGTCATCATCACTGTTTTTTGAGCACATGTTATGCTTTGTTGTCTTCGCAAAAACAACCGCTTTACTCTTTGGGGTAGAGGTAAGGTCTGTGTACATCTCACCTCCACCCCTACTTTCGACTTTCGAGTGGGATTTACTGGGTCAGTTTGGTTTGGTTTGGTTTATTAAATTACGTTTGCTTGTACTTGATTGACATATATGCGTATTCATTATGGTTTATTTTCCTTTGGACAATTGTTTAGGCGAAGGGTTTGAAGGTGACGTGCTTGTTATGTTACTGCTCTGAAGGAGACAACATTCCGGATGCCTTTCATTTGGCAGAGGCAGCATGTAATCTTGTGGGGCTGAGGCCTGATACCTTTAAAGGTGAGTTTTGCATCTTTAAAAGTTACATCACATCTATTCACATGTGATTATAATGAATAGAGACTTATTTGGTGTAATGTTCAGGAAATGAAGGTGGTGGATGGGTGATCCCATTTTCATGGCAGAGTGTTTATGGGCCACCTCCAGATATGTCCCTCTTCTAGCCTTCTTCAAATTGTCATCCTCCACTTTGCATTTAGTTTGTCTGAAAAGGTACGAATTGGTGTAAAACTCGACATCACGTTTTGATTTTGATGTTATGGGGTCTTGTTGTTTACTTGGACTAGACTCGATAAAGAATGAAATAGGACCAGATGGAATGGTAGATAGGAAGGAAGGGAAGATGTGAAAAACCAAATTTAAGAGTATTCCATTTCCAACTGTGTAAGAGTATGACAGGATGCCAACTTCTTGTTTTTTATAATGCAACCATTAGATTAGACCATCTGCATTAGTGTACTCACATTCCTCCAATTTCTTAAAGGTGGAATTGCACCAACCACATTGATGGTTAATATTTTAAGATGCGTTAAGAGTTCGTTCCGAGTAGTGCTGATGCAGTGGTTGAATGACCGATCGGCCCTCCTTTGGAAACGACAGCGTGCATTGAATGTGTCGGTGATCCGGGTGTCCTCAAGATCAATGGCAACACGGGGGTTCCTACCGTTTCCACCAAATCTTGAATTCTTACCATAACCCAACCCCCACCTTCATTAGGGCCAGTGAGGAGGACAGGACAATCCCCCACTCCGAGGGTTTCGTTGTGTCAAGAATGGATCCTTCTTGGTCTTTGTCCGAATCACATATGGTAAGGGATTTTGGAAAATGTCATATATATATATATATATATATATATATATATATAGGGTATATTTCTTTTACAACCTTGTGCATTTATACAACCTTTGCAACCCAATTAATTGAGATATTTATAGAAATGATTGGAGTTCATTTATTATGATTTAAATATTTATGGAATATGAATAGAGTTTATTAATTATGATTAATACTTTAT